TTTACAGCTTAATGCTGATGAATAAACATTGTGATCTCATTCTGAAAGGTGTGTATGCCAAACGTGCTGAGCTAATTGTATCTAACTTCAGTATCTGTTACTGAAAATGAGCCTATTAACTTGTTCCAGAAAATGAGCTAATAAAACGGCATTTTCCACATAAAGATAAACTGATTACACCATAAATACAATACCTGCCAGTGCCAACAATGTTATACGTGAGAGCTAGATTTTTAAAACCTACATTCACAGTAATGCAGGTTTGACCTGCTCTAAAAATTCATTTTGTTTTAGACTGAGGGTTACAGATAAAGTTTGAAAATCTGCGTCAATCTGGGAGTATAAAATGTAAAACATCTCAGCAAGCACACTTCGATTGGCTGTGAGCGTGGAGGCTTTTTTAAAAGGGTGAGCAATGACCAAAAGCATCCTAGAGCTCTACCAGGACTCTTAATAAAAATCCCCCAAGAACTTCGGTGGGAGACGCTGCCAAAGGCGCTTAAAACGCAGCTCCCTGTTAACTCAACATGTGCTTATGCACTTAACTCATTCCCTCTCCTTCTCATGTTCATACACATGTGCACACTTACGAAACATAGTGAACTGCCTACCTAGACTGCAGTTTAGGCATCACAGGTGCCCAATGGAGGCCGTTGCAAAACGTACAAATCCTGATATGAAAAGGAAGTTGCGATAGTCTTTTAATTCCTATTGGGATGTATATGATACGGCGAGTGAAACTGCTTCTTGAAAAAAAAATAAAAAAAAATGTAGTAGGGCAGGACTTTTTTGATTTAGTCCATTGGTAATTGATTGATTTGTTGGATGGTGGTGGTGGTTTGCTATTGCCGTGAGGTTCTCTCACCCTCATGCCAGTAAACACGTCATCAGAGAACAGAAGAGATGTTGCTGCAAGTGGCGGGGGAAGTTATTATGATTGAAAATTAAGAGGGATTAAAACGGATAAATCATTTATAATAAATACTCCATAAAAAAAATACAATTGTCCATTTTGATTAGGTATTTAAGATAGCCTACCTCATTTTAGACAAATTCTAGCATAGCATATATCACATAATGCACTGCGACAATTTGTATTCCACATATTTGGGTTCCACACATGTGCTCCAGATGTGACAAGTATACAAATCGGTCATGTTAGGATGCAGACAGCTCATTGGATTTTAAAACAGAGCTTTAAATTACTTCTAACATGCCCATAGTGTAGAAGTAAAATGCAACCCAAGACGTGGCTTGATTTCCTTAAATGCAAGTGTGATTTTTCTCAACAATGAAACGAGTAATAGAGCCACAAAAACTGTTTGCAGGGATAATGGAATCACGGCTAGAATGGAAAGAGAAAAGGCTCATTATGCATTCACAGCTGATACGTCTGTCTGGCTATCATTACGGCGGAGAGACAGCAGAGGTGTGAGGAATGTGCAGCCAGAACATTACACCTTGATCCAGGCAAAAGAGCATTAGTATGTGAATGATTACAACGATATGGAAAAAGACTTTGTGACACTGAGTTGATAACACATGCTATTAGAAGATAAACGTCTATTTTTCTAGCCATTTTTGAATTTTGTGGAAGAAAAAAAGCCATGTCAGTGCTACCGAGTCCAACTCAGGTAAAGTAATATATCTCTCAAAATTATTTCACAAGAGTCAGGTGAATTGCAAAGCTGGAAATGTGCATAATTTAGGGACAGAAACGTATAAAATATCAGTACCATATCGATTATTAACATTTTCTCATTTCACTTTTGGATAAACATGTATTTGCTGATGTTGAATAGTTCATTTATTGCATTTTCTTCCTTTAGATTAACTTGCTGTCATTAACACTCTAACATCTACTCTTTAAAAACACTTAAGCACAAATGTTAAATCTTTAGCAAATTTCTAAATAAATGTTGATCTTCCAAATTTGTACATTATAATGTTGTAACAATTTCCACAACATCACTATGTGCTTGTCGTTATGAGAATAACAATCTTTTTTGCATTGAAGTGACATTTTAAGATGAAGCACCACTAAATATTGACCGCTACAGACGGTACCACATATTAAACGGACTGAACTTCTGTTCCTTTTAGCCTCATTTTCCTGCGCATCAAATTAAATGTGACATCCATTTTGACTTAACTCTACTAATAAGCATATCAAAACACTGCGGTTTTACTTGTATAACGTAAATACAAATTGAAGTTAGAGAAGATTGGAAATAAATGGAGTATTCTGAACAGTCCAGGGAGATTCTAAAAAACCCTTTAATGCAATTTAGAAGCCTCACAACATCCAGACCCTCTTAAACTTGAGATTATTGAATCGAAAACACCATCCATCTCCATAAGTAATTGTCCTGAGTCCAGACCAGCTGCCCAGGGAGGGAGCATTTACTTATAGCAGACATCCTGATTTAGCATCAATATAAAGCTATGGGATGATGTCATAAACTGAATAGCGCAATCAGATAAGCAGCCCAATTTACGATCACACCGCTATTCTCATACACGCCTGCACATTTAATATGGACAGACGATGAACGGCCATTAATATGTCCCTGTGCCTGCCTCACACATTAAGCAAGCCCACAGACGTATTGCACCAAAAAGTGCATTGCAGAGAGAATTATAGACGTGCTTATTATGCCACATTGACAGATGTGCATCTAAACGCTGGTGTTTTTGAGTTTATTCCCCCCTATTTAGTTTATTGTCTCATTACGTCGAATGAGTCTTCGGGCCCTTGGATGTAGGAAGTAGTTTGTCTCCTCACTAAAACCCATCCAGCTTTCATCTCTGGAATTATCGCCGCATTGCAGCCTGGCAAATGAGAGGTATTTGTCCTTGGGCTTGCAGATCGTAGACGCCTTGATGCTTATGTGTTTACATAGTAATTCTGGCTTCCCCTTCGACTCTACTTTATGTTAAGCTGTCATAAGTCAGAGTGACACGGTCTCTCCTCAAAGAAGTAAATCTGGAATTATTTGCCTCTGACAACATGCTAAGACTTTTTAACCGGATGAGAGCAATGTGAAAACACAGCCGGGACATGATGCAGAAAGGATATTCGAAGCACATGGGTTTGCGGACAAGCGAATGCTCCCTGGCACACTGCAGAGCAAAGCATTTCTACTGTATGGATTAATATAGTTAAAACGACAGCTGGGCCAGAAGAAGAGCTGATGACTGATGGGGAGATGGTCAATCAGAGTGAGAAGAGCTGTCAGATATGAGAGATCATGCTCTTTTTTCACCTATAGGCCAGGCTTCCCGGGCTGAAGTGATGTGCCATTAGAGGGCCTGTCTGCTGCAATCTATGAATAATCCAAAGGCAGACAGCATCACAGCTCAGCCTCTCTCTGAGATGTCACAGATTATGATGAAAAGCCATGCTGGTCCAAAATACACTGGTATACTGTACAATGTTTGTATGAGTTATCCCCATAAGTGTCAGAAATAAACTTTAAGGTCTAAATTTGCCCCATTTTCTTCTGGTATGAGCACATTTCTGTCTAACACAAACACAGAGCATATCTTCCATTTATGTTAAATGCATTTAATTTGAATCGAATAAATTAATTGAAATAAATTATCAATCTAAAAAAACTGTTACCTACGGAGCCCCTAAAGGGACCTTTGCAAAAATAACAAATATACAGACTTTCACGTGCTCACGAGAAACTTTCGAGATACGTTTCTCGTGAGCATGTGAAAAGATCTGTTTTTAAACATTAACTTAAAATGAGCGTTACATGATGACAATGGTTATCTAAATGTAAAAAATACAGGAAATAAGCATGAACATTTAAATAGTACAAATCAACCATTATATCAAGAGATGCAATAAATAAATCTGTAATAAATCACCAACAACCAATATGGCACTTATTATGGAATTGAGGAATTGCCCCATGGTTTATTTCTGATGAATATGAATGCATGAATTTACATTATTAACATTATTTTTACACCCTGGCATGAGAATTCAATGGGTCTCTAATTTGTGCATACGTCAGCTTGCACTGATTGGCTGGGGGTTACGAATGTCACTCTGTTCTGAGAGTTGATGGTAAATCCTTTTGACAAGCCAGGGTTGAGCAAAAGTTGACCTGATAGTCGGGTGCTTGGAAGAGCAGAGATCTGCCCTAGGGAGCAGGGCACCGCTGTGTGCAATCCTTCTAATATCATTGATTTCCCTGTCCAGCTTTCTCCACCATAAATCTATATGCACATTGCACACACACTGACTTCTAATGTTTATGAGCGATTGCTGCGCTAATTACCATTCTCATGTAAACACAATACATCCACATCATTAGACGTCATTAAAGGAGCATTCATTCCGATTTCACTCTGACCGTTAATAAAACAATTTCAGAATGTTAGCCAGGCTTTTCCGGCCTCACTTGAAATTTTTCCAATTATAAAGGGTTCATTAAAAACAGGAGTTTACAGGGGACTGACTTCACCCGTGTCGGGTTCAGATGAACGGTAGTTTGAGAAAGCAGAGCGGGTCATTGAAATTTAAGGAGCCAGTGTTCAGTAAACTCAAAATCAGGGCAGTGAAAATAAATGCAATAAGGTTACTGAAATTTGATGGGGTGCAGAAACGTTTTCGTGTAATTACAGATCGTCGTGTGCTGCCAAGTGAAAACACAAACATCTCTGGCCAGATGCATGTATGTTAATACACCAAACAAACACCAATTTTCTTTTGATTGCCCTTGGCTAGCATTTTTCTAGTCCATTATGAAGAAGGAAAAAAAAAACGGTACGGTTCACTCAGTTGAACATACATGCCAAAATGTTTTCCAAATTTTATCCTGATGGAAAGCAAACACTACACATTAACGTTTATACAAATTATCCACCAGCACACACATGCACTATCCACAGTTTGCCGGGCCACTGCAAGAGTTTAGGAAATCAAATACATGCATTAAAAAAAACACAGCTGGTTTTCCAAATGGCAAATAAAGGCTGTTTACCTTCTGGAAGAGAGTGGGAACCTGCTGTAGCTTAAACCCGTGGTAGACAAACACATCGTACATGGCAGCCACAGCCAGCACCGTTACGCCTTGTTCCTTCCACAGCATGCTGAAGGAAGCACATGCCAAGGTGGCCAAAAACCACGTCCAGCTTCGCCTGTGGGCACTCGTCTTCATGGCACAATGGCATATGTAGCAGCGTAGGGCCAGAAGGAAGAAGAGGGCGGCTCCCACGTCGGCCCGGCCCACAATTCCCGCCACGGCCTCTGTGTGAATGGGGTGAGCGGCAAAGAGAAGCCCAGCCAGCAGGCTCCAGCAACCCGACCCAAGCAGCAGGCTTGAGAGGCTAGAGAACAGGGCAGTCGTGGCACAGTGTAGAACCACATTGACCAGGTGGTAACCCCAGGGATCTAAGGCACCCAGGGCGTAGTTGAGTCGAAAGGAGAGTGTGCAGAGTGGGCGATAGGACTTATGGCTACCACTGTGGGTGAGAAGTGTCCCCCAGAAGTCATCGTAGAAGATGTTGATCCAAGGTGTTTCGGGGAGAAGGTCCTGGTTGGTCTTGATAGCACGGCTGTGTGGAGAAAAGAAAGAGTTGGTGGTCCAAATAGAGTCAAATGACATTAACACAATTATTCAAATTTATAAAACTGTCAATTAATTCAATACAATGCATGTAAGGACATTGCTTTGAAGAGTGAAGGTTGAGTTTGTCCTTATCCCACATGTTCTGTTATTGTATGAGCTGCACTATGAGTGTTGTGATTGACATTCGTCACTTGCTACAGCCTTGAGTCTTCCTAACACAGCAGTCTTATTCATAAAAGAACACAAGAGGGGATGACTAACACACACACACACTAGACCATGTTTGAAAGTACAACTGCATGTAAGCTGACAAAGTAATTTGTCATATAGAAAACTTCTCCTGTGCTTTTGTGTATAGATTTATTGCCAATTTTTACAATGGACAAGGAAACCCTAAATTTTAAGTCAAAAATACTTTTTTAAGAGTCTAAAATTAAGTCAAAAAGTCAAAAATAAAATAAAAATATATAAAAACAATTTTACAAATGATTTATGCAGTTTTAATTGTAAAGTTGATGTAACTGTTCATAGGGATCATAAAGATCAATAGAAACTGCAAATCAATATGTGAGAATACCTTACATTGATTCTGACATTCCTCAAAGTTTAGAAACTGAGGACATGTACCGCACACTTGACCAAAAAAGAAATGTGATAATCAGAAAAACAGGGACTTCCATTTAGCCGTAAGCAAGCACAAAGTGCTACCAAATGTCTGTCAATCAAACCAATCCGACTTTGACAAAAAGAAACTCAAAGACAAAGAGAAGAGTTGAAGGAGTAATCAGCCATTTTCTCGCTCCCTGGGAGAAGGCTTTGGGACTCTAAATATGTCTGAAGAAGGCCTCATAAAAGCGTAGAGTTGTGCAGAGAACGGGGGGAGGCAGGGCGGGATATGCTCTAGTGGCCATATACATATACTGCGCCCACGTTGTCTGCCTGTGTTGCGCCGCCCAACAAGACTGAGAGAGCCCTCAAGGCAAACAAACAACACAAACATGTGTAAACAAAGCAACTAAGCAGTTACGTTATTCCATATGCAGTCATCCGTGCCAAAATCCATGTCATTCAAACCCTAGGCAGTGGTATCTTGCTGTGAAACAAACACCCTCTACCCCCTGTGATCGTGAATACACGGCTGCACACATGAAAATGGTGTTGAACCGTCGAGTGTAATTAGTCTCCTTAGAGAGCGCAAGCAATGACATAAGCTGTAATTAAAAGATGCAACAGGAAATACGTGACAAGTGCGATAACGCACCATCTAAGCGACAGAATAATCTGTCTTCACAGCAATGGTGCCAAGAATGTGTAATTAACATCGAATGGAGACAAAAGGTTTAATGGAAACAAGAGAAAGATATGATGCAAAAAGAGCAATGGATCCCTGGCTGTAGAGCCAAAGTCTTTTATCATTTGCTACTAGCAAGCACACTTGCACAGTTGCCAGCAACGGACGCCCGTCTACTCCTCCCCCATGAGAACAGATGGAACTAGGAAAAGTGAGGAGATGTTACAAAAGACTAAACTGCCAAAAAGAACTAGTTCAGGACATGCTTCAGCTTCTTTGTAGTCTTGGGGGAAAATTTTGACAAGACGCGTTGAAATTGCAGCCATTACTTTGTAAAAGTCCACAAGAAAAACAGATGCATCGAGAACTACATTTCTCCGTGAGATAAAGCTCTCCATCATCGGACACATTTCAAATCTCTGCCTTGACTTTGATACATTCACTGTCTTGGCAGACCTTCCTGATTTTTTTCTCCCTAAGGTATACCTTCTTTATTTTATTCCAAACCATTCATCAAATTAGATCTTTATTCTTCCAAACAAAGGGATAACACGAGAGCCATTGTGGTTCAATTACACCTCTGAATCAATTGAAATGAGTTGCCAATTTACTGGATACTTTGGAGAGCAAGAGAAAACAAACTCCATGGCCTGAAGACTCGACACCCAGCAGCTCAGACAAGACAACAGACTGTGCCAGGGCCAGCAGGCAGGGGCTTCAGAGATCGGCTTTCGCATAAAGTGTGAATCAGAAAGGAACACTTGGAGCTCTAGTGCTGGATTGTAACTGAAGATCAGGAACAACAGAGGCTCTCGGATTGTATGACGAGAACATGAATTCTTGAGCCACTGCCTGATTTGGCTTGACAGCACTCTGAGGAAGTCTGACTCCCTAGAATGATTCTAATTGGTGTTACTGAGACAAATAACGTGAAAGCTAATCTCTAGCATGAGTTGATACTTCTTGCCCGTAGAGGATGTACACAGGGATAGGAGTCCAGTAGCAGCTTTTTTATATGCAGGAGCACATTCTTATTCTCGACAACTCTCAGGGGACTGGTGGTATCACGCGATCCTGAATCTGGCCACTTTATTTCATCTAGAGTCCAATCAGCATGCTGGGGATACTGTGACCACATCTGTCAAAGCATGTTTGCTTATCACTCTATCCTTGCCGTGACTGGTACGTTGTTACATTTTGGATGACCGCAGCTCTAATGAGAAGTGAAATCCAAAATAAGTCCTGTGTAATCTAGATCCCAGTTCCCTCAGACTGGGAGCAAGATTTAGCTCTGCGGCCATGAGAGGGGCTTAAATGCTGCAGTGTCAGGCTGCGACCTCAATGTTTTCGGACAAGTACAGCTTTGCTAGATCCAAAACAAAGGCTTATAATTTGAGCCCAAAACAAAACAAACCATAAAAAGTGTCTAGTCTCTGCAATCAAAAGCGACCAACTACAGTGCAACCATATTCCATGGATTGTCTTTCTTTATGAATCGGACGGATACACGTCTTGACGCATGATTAGCTTAATGCACAGAGTAAATTCGCTCTGCCAAAGTGCATGGATGCCAGCAAGTGTTCCTATAACGCAAGTCCATCCGGGGTCTATACTTTTTAAATTAAAGATATCTAAATAACTTATCTTAACATCATATGGTTTCAGATATTCTTCTGAAAGTTTGAGTCAATGCACAATTGTTTTATATTTGTGCCAGCAAGCAAAAAGCGGGGGAGAAAGACACAGGCAGTAGGGAGATGTGTTTTTCAGTCTGCCAAGTATGTGTCATCACCCGGCTTCAGTGTCTGAAAGGGCCGCAGTCATATTTTGAGAGTGCCTACAGAGAGGCTGTCCGGTCTGTCCACTCTGCTCTCATGCCTGGGCTTTTGTCTATGGTTTCTTCCCATGAGAATGCCTGCAGGTCAATAACAGAATACCTTCCCCTTATGTGGTACTTATGCGAGAAGAGCTCTCAGGGACAACAGCCTTGTTCCTTTGTGTAGTTCCATGAAGAAAAGCTGTATGGGTTATATAGAGAGAGGAAAATCAATTAATTTGTCAGAATAAAGGCCTGGACTGTTAAGGAAACACCTTCCATGCCGAGTAACTCACAAAGTACAAATGTATTTCATTCTCTCAGTTATTCATTCATTCACTCTCTCTTTCTTTCAGTTATTCTTTCAGTCATACTTTTGTTTCATTCATTCTTTCGGCCAATCTTTCATTTTTTTCCCTTTGGTCAATCTTTCATTTGTTCTGTCATTCTTTCATTCTTTTTTATTTCAGTCATTCTTTTATTCTTTATCATCCATTTTCATTCTCTCAATCATTTATTCATTGGACATGGTACATTGGTAATACCATTTTTGGACATATACTGTGCTAATATCAGTTGGTTCAAAGTTTGCTTAGATTTTTTTTAACCTTTATGTATACCATGTAAATGGCATAATACATAAAGAGGGTAATCATTATACACTGGTATTCTGGCAGGCAGGGCGAAGCCGAGAGCTGTGAGAACGGAGCAAGCTCTGGAAGGATTAAAGGAGGAGTGACAACAGTGCAAGTTTTGTTTTAGTTTATGTGGTAGTTGTCCGTGAGGGGCTTCTGCTTTGGTTTTGATGTTTGTTTATTGTATCATTAAAAGTTAAGTTTAAAGTTCGACGGTGCCCACCTTCTCCTTCCCATATCAACAAACTTCGTAACAGGTATTATCAAAACACCATGTTTTTTCTTTCTGATTCCATCACTGCACAATGGTAATGCAACAGGACTTCAACAGGAAAAGATTCACAAGAAAAATGTTTTCCACTGAAATCATTAATCTTTCAATATCAACCAACACCTAAATGAACAGCATTACATGAATTATTATTAGTCATATTAGTAAAATAAATATAAAATAGAGGAAGTTGGGGTTCCCATTGCAGGGAATACTTCCTATAGTTCCTCTGATGAAGAGCTTTAGATCATGCTTCAAATCTTGTCAAAAGTTATTAACACCATCAGAGCTTCCTCAAAACTGGAGAAATAAAAAACTATTTGCATAAATTATTTATAAAATGGCAGATTATGGAGGTGAAAAGACATTTCAGCAGGCTAATCTTATAAATGCTGGCATTACAAATCAATTCATACGCCTGGAAAGAAAAATAAGCTACTGACATTTCAAAGTCACAAAATGCATTCAGTCACCAACTTGTGCACAAAAAAATGTCAAGGAATGAGTGAGGCACAAAGTGCTCTCTTGAGATATTAACTAATAGAATTGACACTTTGAACTGTTCGTTGTTAAACAACACAAAATCGATACCACGGTAAACTCAATGTATTTCAATATGTCAGTCTGGCAAGTTAGTCAAAATGTCAGCTGGTGTATTATTGAATTCAGGTCAGATAGAGTGGGACTAAAGGCTTTCATTTGGGGGGCTCCAACAAATAGTGAAGCAGACACACATTGAAAGGGTCGGGGGCTCTCCAATCTGAACAAACCATCTCGGGTCACCATGAAATCAACATGGTCATGGCTGGACATTGTTGATCTAAATGCCACAAAAGCCACATTATCTAGATTACAACCATGTCAAAGTAAAAAGAGAATGGAGGTTTTGTCCCTTGTTTTTGTTTAAAAATAGCATATATTATACATTCAAGCATGATTCAATTTATGACACTTTCAAAAGGTACCTTCCACA